AGCTTCAGTAAGTTTCCACTCATAGGCGAGGGTTTGGGTACCCCAGAGTGGGGTGCAGTGTTGTGTGTGTATTGGGGGCAGGTGAAGAATCATTTCATTGCTTTTCTTCAAAATTTTTTATCTATTATTTTGTATCATTTATAAATCCCACCGTGAGCCCTCTTACCTCCAACACCTGTCTTTGTTAGCGTCTGCTCACGCTGCCCTGATTAAAGGCTGTTACTCATTGTGTGAGTAATCTGCTCTGGTGCAGCATCTGCGACGACCTGTAAACGTCCCCTCTGACCTCATCATCCTGACTTCCCGCATGTCGCGCCCTGGGCCCCATCCCCAGCGGGAAGTGGGAACCTTCCCTGGTCCTCACCACTGAGTCGGAGCCTTGTGTGGACAGGCACCCCTCCTGGACCCAGGCTTCTGCCCAAGGGCTGCCGCTTTTCTCCACCTCTGCGTATTAGCCCCACAGTTCTGGGTTCTTCACAGACACAGCCTGTGCCGTGCAGAATTCATAAAGCGCCCTTAGAAGAGGACATATTCCCCCCATTTTACACGTGAGAAAACTCAGACACGGGAGGCAGTGGGATGCCCCAGCTACTTGGAAGCCAGAGGCCAGATGTGAAGGACGGCAGCGGCCCATCGGTGTGGGGTGTCCAGAATGCGCCCATCTGAGTCCAGTTGGTGAGAGGTTCCAGGGGCCCGGGGAGGGCTGTGAGTCCTGGGCACACCATGTCCTTTGGGTGATAAATGTTCTGGAACTAGATAGAAGTTGACTGGAACCACTGAATATACACCTGAGAAGGGTGAACATAACGCAATGTGAATTTTACCTCCATTTTTTTTTTTTTAGATTTAGGCATACAGAAGTGGGGGACAGACCAGAGGCGCAGGGGCTGAGCTTCTAGTGCTGAGGTGGGCCTCGGGGAGGAAAGTGCTGTCCCCTGTCCGAGGTCACTGCTCCGGGCAGTAATCGGGAGCAGGGACTGCCCCAACACACAGACTGGCAGGAAGGAGAAGCCCCTTCTACCTGCAGTCACCGGCCGCCCCCGTAGGCTTCATCTAACCGGAATCATCCAGAAGCTACTTCACAAACACGCTTGGGTTGAATGATCTTTTTGAGAGGTGGGGTGCAGGCGGAAAGGGGAGTGGAATGGCCGCTCCTGAGGCTGCAGTCAGGAGAGACGTGGCTGGGCGGGACACGGCCTGGGTGGGTGCCCAGCGCAGCTCCCCACCGCACAGCCCTGGCCCAGGGCTCACCTGGGCAGTGGCTCACGGGCCTGCAAGGCCTTCGATGTTCCAGAGCTAGTTTCCCTGGGGAAACTGAGGCCCAGGGGAAGAGCTGGGGCTGAGGTTCCTTGCTTGCCCCACCCCACCGTGCTATGTGCTCTAGCACCAGGGCTGAGGTGCTTGGAGAGGCGCTGGTGTGGGGGCGCTGGTGTGGGGGCACTGGTGTGTGGGGTGCTGGTATGTGGGGGTGCTGGTGTGTGGGGTGCTGGTGTGTGGGGTGCTGGTGTGTGGGTGCTGGTGTGTGGGGGTGCTGGTATGTGGGGTGCTGATGTGGGGGTGTAGGTGTGTAGGGGTACTGGTATGGGGGTGCTGGTATGGAAGTGCTGGTGT